CCTAGTCCTTCCACCATTTGAGTAGCTCTTGGTGAGTCTGATGCAGATGAGACCCAAGCTGGCTACATCCTAGGGTCTTGGCTTTTGGAGTTTGAGACATAGCACACAACCCTTCTTGGCCTAGGTTCCCTAATGGGGCATCACCATGATAACCTCAGATGGGGTGAGGGGCACAATGGACAGAAGAGGCCCCAGGCCGGGAGGGAGCACCACTTTCTGTAGGCCTGTCTAAGTTTCTCTGAAATTGTAAGATGAATAACTCCACTTTGCAACCACCTCTACCACCCAGTTCTATTTCACAATCTAAAAGCAGGAACTGTTTAGTTTCTAGAAGCATAATACTGACTCACAGCTATTTCACCCATCCTAGGCCCTTCCTCTTATATCATGGGAGGCAGGGCTTCACTCCCCTCACAGAGCAGAGTCCAGATTTTCCAGCACACATTTGGACAGAGCAGGCTCCTCAGGCATCCAGGATGTCTGTCCCTGCCTCCTGGACCCACCCTCCTCCTTGCCTGCTGCTGATTCTACTGCTGGGACTCACAGGTGAGCACTCCTTGGGGTAGAATCCCCTCTCCATGCCCCTGGACCTTCCCCTGTCCCTCGACTTTTAGGGCCTCATGGTAAACAAGAGTGAGCCATCCAGGGCTGCCACAGAAGAACAATACTGGGTGTTATCTGAAAGCACGAAATCAGGGGTCTGAGCAATTTTCTGTGGATTCAGTGCCTGAACCTGGTTACCAGAGGCACCAAAACAAACGATGCTTCAAAGCATAACAGTGACATTGTATGTGTATTAACTCATCTAATCCTCACAACATCCCTGTATAAGTGCGATGATTCTTATCCCAGATTTGTCGATGCGGAAACTGAGGCAGAGACAGTGACTTGTCCAATGTCACCTACATAAGGCAGTTGCTCAGCTGCGTTTATTCCAGGCCGACCAGTTCCAGAGTTCATTCTTTAACCATGTTATGCTGCTTGGCTTCTCAGAGGACGCTGATTGCAGAATAATCAGAAAATACAGTGAAGCAAAGAGAAGAAAGTCTTCATTCATCAGGTCACTCAGAGTCAGCAGAGTTAAAATTGTGCTGTGTACTCATGAACTTTTGTTAATGATGTGTTGGATGGTTCCTGTATGCCATTGTTTTTACTGAGCATTTAATATGTATTATCTCATTTAATCCTCAAGACAGCCTCTATACCAGCATGTTAGACCACATTTTTATATATATTTGTGAATGTATGTATCTACACGTGAGTATGTGCATTCAGTGGGTGTGAGGAAGTGCACACACATGCACGCACAGGATTTTTGAATAGGTCTTTCCTTATCGTTTCTTCAAATCATTTTCAATCCACATGAAATGTACATGAACAGATGTTTAGATCTCTGTCTCTCAAACACCGTCCTTTTTCCTACTTCTCAAAATTACCGCTTACCTTCCCACTAACTTAAAACAAAGTTCTCTCTCTTCATAAAATGAGGAGAATTGTGTGCATTAATATCTTGTTCTTTGTCCATGTGGGATAAGGGTAAGGAGGAAAAAAGGGGGTAAAAGATAAAGAGACTCCTTCCTGTATGACCTGTATCTGCAATTGTAATTGTATTTGTATATCTACATCTATATTATCTATATCTTCTATATCTATATCTATATCTATATCTGTATCTGTATCTGTATCTGTATCTGTCTGTATCTAAATCTATTTCATCTAATACCAATTGAAGCTTCAAGGCTTTAGGAAAATCATGAGTAATGACTTTTCAATTTCGTGAATAACCGCCTTGTGTAGATGCTATAGAAAATGCCAGGGCTGTTTACTCATATGACCATTATATCCAAGGTAGATCCTCTTTTCATTCTTACCTACATGTAAGAAACCAAACCGGAAACACATAGAGGTTCAAGGTCACTCAATGGTAAATGGTAGAGCTATGATTTGAACTCGGTTCTAGACTTCATGGGTTTAACCATTGCTTTTCTCAAATGCCTGTGGCCCCACTTGAGATTTCTGCCGCTTCTGCCAATGGGGGTGGGCAAAGGTGAGTGTGGGTATCAGGCCTTGTGGTTTTCTACTGGATTCTTCTGCTTCCTCAATATGCACAACATACTTTTGTTTTTCACCAAGTCATCTCCATGAGAAACTCAGTTTCTGAGGTAATTTTCACAGAGATTACCCACTTAAAGACACTTCCGGTTCTCAGTGAGCTGTTGCACTGGGCAATTCAAACATCATACAAAAACTTCCTGGACATATACTAGATCCCAGGAACTGTACCACTAATTTGGAGTGTACTGGTGAATAAAAGAGACAAAGTAGCTGCCCTCATGAAGCTTATTACCTAGTGGTAATAGATTTACCTAGAGAGTAAACAATAGACATCATATAGTATGTTTAAAAAGTGATAAGTTTAGAAAAAGATTAAAGTGTTGCTGGATAAGAGAATTGGGGGGATCTGTAAGTTGCGATGTCTGTTAGACAGAGTAGTCTGGATGGACATCACTGAGAATGGGAAGTTTGAGCAAAGACAAAAAGAGAGTTGGGAGAGAGCCATGTGATGAGACGGAGAAGAAGCCTTCCTGAGAGCAAACAGCAAGTCAAGGGCCCTGAGACTGGAATCGTCCTCTTGTGTTCAGGGATTTAAGCATTTGCTCTGAGTGGAAAGGTTGCCATTGCAAGATTTTGAAGAAAGAAGCGCCATGGACAGACATGAGTTTTAAATTATTCTAGCATTTGGTTGAAAACAGACTACCACAGGACAAAGAGAGAAGCAGCCAGAGCATTTAAGAGGTCATTTCATTTATGCAAGCAGAAAAAGTGCCTTGCATCAGGCAATATCTAGTAGAGAGAGGGGAAAGATGGAGACTTGAGTCATGCGAAAGTGGAGCCACTGGATTTCCTGATGCATAGGATTTGGGGTGGGAGAGCAAGAAGCAAGATCTTTGGGACCTGAGTACCTAAAAGATTAAAGGTGCCACAGCTAAGAAATAGAGGGCCATGGGAAAATTTAGGACTTAAGTTTTGTACATGTTAACAGTGAATATTGATTTCCATCCAAGGAAAATGTGAGTGGACAGTTGAACATGCAAATCCAGAGTTTAGGGGAGAGCCCTGGGCCAGAGATGTAAATATGAGAAATACAGATACACAGATGGTAGATTTTTTGCCATTTCCTGCCCCTCTCAGCTCTCCGATTTCTCTTCTCTCCTCCCTTCTCTATTCCTTCCACTTCTTCCTCCGAGGTTCATTCCTACTTCTTCCCCTCTTTGTCTTATCACTTCAACTTCCCCACCCCCAAGAGACTCCAGACTTAAAACCCAAACCACCGATGTTCTTGGCACCAAAACACCTGCCCTGTGACAGCGTGTGGCCTCTTTAAGAGGCATGTGTGGTTACAAGTGTTGCTAAGTGGGTAGGTTTCACTAGCTCACACCTTGCAAAGGTAACCCACAAATTTTCTCCCTGAGGAGAAGCTAAGTAATAGAAAAGAACAGAGGATTAACTGATGGAGTCACAGCTGCATCTTCCTCTAAGTTATATCCCTGCCACCAGAACCCATGCCTACTTTTTCAGACGCTTCAAATAAGAAGGAAAGTTTGTGTGTTTCTCCGTGTCTCCAGAAACGAGCTAGTAACTGAAGCAGTGAAATCGAAGTGAGAATTTTGCCCCTGCAGTTAAACAGTTGGCTCAACCGTAAACTTATGTCCTTTCAACTTGTAACTCATAGTCTAAACATGGTGAACCACCCACAATTCTTTTCAAAACCCAAGTTCCGTGTCTGATGTTTCCTTGCTTGCTTCTCATGATTCTATTTCCCCATTCCAGTGCAGGCTCTGAAATCTGCCCGCATAAGGTTTATCTTTTTCCTTCAGTCATTTAGTCCAATTTAAACCTCTACATGGCACAATGTGCATGTTTCAATACATACATTTTTGTGGTAAAATATATACAATATGAAATTTACAATTTTAACCACTTTTAAGAATACATTCAGTGGTGTCACGTACACTCACAAGGTTGTGTGTAACCATAAGCACTAAACACTGCCAGAACTTTTCAACAGCCAGAACTTTTCAACATCCTCGGCGGAAATTCTATACCCATTAAAAGTAAATCCCCGTTCTTCCTTCCACCCCAGCACCTGGTAACTTCTATTCTACTTTTTGTACCTATGAATTTGACTTTTCTAGGAACTTCATATAGGTGAACACATATTTGTCTATTTCTATGAGGCATTTTTCACTTAGCATGTTATTTTAAAGGCTTATCTATGTTATAGGACCTATCAGAATGTCATTGCTTTCCTCAGCTGAATAATATTTTATTATGTGTATATATGCACCACATTTTTTTATCCATTCCTCTGTTGATGGATATTTGGATTGTTTCTACTACCTTTTGGTATTGTGAACTGCTGCTATGAACATTGATGTACAAGTATGAGTTTGAATCCTTGTCTGAATTTGGGAAAGAAATATAGCTAAGAGTGACATTGTTGGAAATATGGTATGATTCAGCATTTAAGACACTACCATCATTTTCAATAATGGCTGCACCATTTTTATATTTCTACCAAGAATACGCAAGGGTTTCAATGTCTTCGCATCTTTGCCAACATTTATTTTCTCTATTTATTTTTATTTTTTGATGGTAGCCATCCTAAGGAATGTGAATAGGTATCTCATTGTGGTTTCCCTAATTACTAGTTAGATCAAGCATCTTTTCATATGCTTACTGACCAGTTGTATATCTTCTGTGGAGAAATGTCTATTCATTTGTCCATTTTTAGTTGAGTAGTTAGTTATTTTT